AATAAGCTCTCACATTAATGTAATGGGTGGACTTCAATGTATCTAGGAAACCAGCTCCACAAGAGTTTCACATGAAGGCTATGATTCATGTCAGTCACCCTAGTCCTGCCAATCTGCCAGGTAAGATGCAATATTAAAGGGCGGCATCGGTACACTGGCCTCAGGGAGCTCGACAGCCCCTTGACCTTGCGGTTGATGCTTCCCATAATCGTCTGCTTGTCCCTGGCTGAAGACAGGCACCTCCTGCAGAGGCCAGGCCAGAGCCCTCATTTGATTAAGGCTCTACTAGACATAAACAAAGCCTTTTCATATAAATGGGGGGTGAGGGGGAGACTACTAAACACTCAGAAGTAACAAAAAATATACACAGTAACGTAAATCTAGGTTTAAACATTTATCTATCTTCATTCCTTCATTTCCATGATTGTGAGATCCCAGCTTACCCAACAGATTTGAACTAACCCAAATACTAGCCTTTTCTTTAATTCCCACAGACAAACAAAGCCAAATCCACAGATTCTTATGGCTTAGAATGACCTACTGTAAATTATTGGGTGTTAGTCCATTTTGTAAGTCATAACCTAAAATAGAAGTTCAGATGGTTGAAATGTCCAGTTTTCAGGAAGGACATTTTGTTACTAGTGCATCATTTTGATTGCCCTATAGAAGTTTCATTTATTTTCTTAATAGCTGCTGATCTTGCCTTTAATTTATAAACGAGGTTAGTTTTGCTTCAGTGTTACTGTGGGTTGTTTAACCTTATACTAGATAGTTTCCCATATCTGTAGCAACAGTAGTTTGAGCCTCTTATGTCCCAATAATTAAGCCTTAAAGCTGTGAATACATTGCAATTCAAAAATGAACCATGCATAACCCTATCACTTAAGAAACGAGAGAGCTCCTCTCCTCCAAAATTTTACAGGGATTCTTGGTTCTTCTTTCACTGAAAAGTGGGAACCTGCTAGCCAATGGGGAACTTGAGGTCTCTGACCTCATCTAAAGGTGTTTCAGACCCCCAAGGCTAAAAACCACTGACCTCCGGGAAGGTCTCCCTCCCTGGTTCCCGGATCCCCACACCATGACAGAGGCTATCTTCCCTCTGAATTCAGTGTGATGTCCCAGATAGTGAGCTGGCCAGAAGCTGTCCACTCTCCAGCAATCTTGCTTTCTGAAGCATGTTTTTCTGAGGACCTGCCTTTTCCCAGGTGACCAAAGCTGGAACCATCTACTCCCTATGAGCCACCTCTGCCCACAGGGCTGTGGCTGTGCCCTCAGCCACAATAGGACATTTCAGGACACACTGCAGAAAGTCCAATATGTATACACAAGGTTCACACACAATGGGTGAACAGGGCTTTTGTTCTAGTGCATCTTTGATGGGAGGGCTAACTAGTTCAACAAAGCTTGAAACCTGTACCAGTGTCCCAGCGTACGGTGTCCAGACTTACCAGAGAAGGTAACCCCGTACAACGTGCAATGTACAACAGGGGCAAGAAAAAAAGGTCCCTCTGGGACAGCAAGAACAGGAAAGGGAAATAAAGGGAGAATCAATCAATACTTGAGCCAGGACAAGTATGAGCTTTCAAGTCAGAGACCTGGTCATGAATCCTCCAGGATTTTCCACCAACCAGCTGTAGAGTCTTGAGCACATCTGGTCCAGAGCGGGCTCTAACTGGTATTTGCTGAATCAGTGAGTGCTGAATGAAACTGAGCATTTCATTTGCAAACCAGTAGTGTAATTCCTACCTTGCAGAATTGAGAGGAATGAGAACACATTCTAAGAAAAAAGACATTAGACATGCAGTAGGCTAGGCACCAGAATTCTAAGGTACTGCCTACCCTGGCAGGAACATTTTCACATCAGGGAACATGAGTTCCTGGACTCTGGGGCCAGGTTAGGAGGTGGGTAGGTGCAGCAGAGCAGGGCAGGGGCAGGGCCAGGCACTGAAGCGAGGCTACAGCCCGGAGACCAGTTCCCTGCCTCACCCGCCATGGTCTTCCCTCTGCCCTGGCTCTCCGGACATTGCTGCCGCCTCCTCCTCCTGCCATCCTGGCCCTCTGCACTTCAGGGCTCCTGGAGGCGCTTCTCCCAAGATCCCAAGGCAAGTACAGAAGAGACCAGCTCTACAGGCAGTGGGAAGATGTCACCCCCCAGGGTAAGTGGACCAAGAGTGAGGCTGGAGGGCAAATTTGTACTGGGGGGGTACAGGGAATCACCTCCATCTCATCCCGTAACAAAGGCCAGCTGAAAGCAGACACTACCCGTAACCCAGGTGCTTGTTGCCTAGTCCCAACCCAGTTTCCCGGAACTTTCCCTGCCCCCAGACCACTCCAGACCTCAGGGGACCCTCTACCGCACCCTTCCCTCCTCACAGCCCACGAAGTCCTTGAACAGGAATTTCCCCTAACAGTTAACTATTTCTTTGGGGTGGGTTGGGACAGCAAGTCCTCCCCTTCCCATAACCCCACATGCTGCACAGGGAGTCAAGTCATAGCCCATGGGCTGTGATCTCTAATTGCTCTCCCATCCAGCCCCAGGCCTATGCCTAAGACAGGAAGTTAACCTTGGCTCTGCAGTAGAGGACCTTAAAACTAATGAGGTTGAAAAACTGGAAAGACACATAATTCCTTTCAGTGAGCCTCAGCCTCCTGCCCTAGTTGATGCTCCCTCCCTAATGCTCCCTCTCCCAGGACCCCCAGCCTCATCCCACAGATGAGCTGGCCCAGGCTGAGGAGTTGCTGGAACAGCAGTTGGAGCTATACCAGGCCCTGCTGGAAGGTCAAGAGGGGGCCTGGGAAGTCCAGGCCCTAGTGCTCAAGATCCAGAAGCTGAAAGAGCAGATGAGACACAGGGAGAGCCCGGGAGGAGACGCCTAAGCTTTCCACCAGTTTGCACTTCACCCTCCAACACTGGCAATACTGCATACCACTCTCCCCAGCCCTTCAATCAGGAACACCCCAGCCTCTCTCAGCCACTAAGAAAATGGAATCCTCCACAAAGGGCCAGGATATGGAAAGCAGTGAGGAATCACGGCCTCTGCAGTCTTTTCAGTCACATCCCCCAGTTTGACACCTCCCACTGACCTTGGCCCCACAGTAGCGCACAGTCCCTACAGGAACTTACTCTGGATTACGCCCTAAAATCTCACCCCAAATCCAATAAAGGGACGGAGCGCTTACAGATACCACAGACACATATGTTTTTTAGTTTTGTTAAAAAAAATTGACAAATCAGGAAGTGGGGGGATTAGGAGTGGTGGTGATGCAAAAGAGGGAAGCCATGGGGTGGGGGCTGGGGTTGTCAGGGGCAGGTGGCAGTAGTGTCTCCTTCATCCCCATGCCTGGTGTCATCTCCTGAAAAGGGATGGACTGTCACATTCCAGAATGGGTGGGTGAATTCTCTACCGCGTCTGTTCAACTGAAGAAAAAACATGGCAGTTAGAATGAGGCATGAAAAGGAAAAAGCAAGGTTGGCAAAAACACCCACCCGTCCCCAACACATGCAGATGTTTGTATAGTGTGTGGGTCAGAGAATAGATTTGGGAGTTAAGAAAGAGAAATCATTTGATGAGAAGAGACCTCATATAGAAGTCTTTAAATTAAACATCCCAACAGGGCATCAAGATGGATGGGGTGGGGGTGGGGGGAAGGGAATGGATAATGAATTTGTCAAGTGTCCACTATGCACCAGGGGCTTTAAGTAAAGACCCACTAAGTAACAAGGAGAATCTAAAGAGCTGGGGGAGCCAGTTTCATGAGATCAATACTCACTGTAGGAGGAGATGTCTATCTCATCAGGCAGCTCACTAATATTGACTTCAAAGCGATCCTGCACATCATTGAGGATCTTGGCATCATTCTCATCTGACACAAATGTAATGGCCAAGCCCTTGGTGCCAAACCGGCCAGCTCTGGCCACCTGGAAGGAGACAGATAACATCTGTACACCCCCGAAGAATGAAGACAATCAAAAGGGGAATGAAGATGTAAGGGATGAAAAGATAATAGAAACTAAGGAGATGGGAGAGGATACTCGGATGCCCTCCTGGGTGTGGGGCTTACCCGATGCAGGTAGGTGTCGGAATCTTCAGGCATGTCGTAGTTAAAGGCAATGTTCACCCGCTCGATGTCCATGCCTCGGCCAAACAGGTTGGTGGCCACAAGAATTCGTCGTTGAAAATCTTTAAACTGCTGATACCGAGAAAGCCTTTGTGAGAAAGAAAGTAAAAAAAAAATAAAATAAAACAAAAATGTTGAGTTTCCCTTCTCACAAGGGTCTCTCTTACTCTCAAGGACACAAAACATCTTCCCCATCTCTGACTCACCTCTCCTCCTGGGGCATCCCACGGTGGATGGCAATGGCTGGGAAGTTCTGCTCCACCAGAAGCTGGGCCAAGGCGATGCAACGCTGCACAGACTTCACAAATATCACCACCTGTGTGTGTGTGTGTGTGTGTGTGTGTGTATGAGATTGGTGGATGTGGGTCCATGTGGGTGTGTAAGAGATTATATGCAAGAGTTTTCAGAAATTATACTCTTCTGAAAGAATTCCTTAGTCCCCATCACGTTTCCTCTTCTGCTCTAAGTATAATATAGCCTTTCATAGCCTTTCCCTCTTGGCTCTAATTTTTCCTGAGCAGACAAGACATGCTACAGAGAAGGTAACGAAAACAGTAACCAAAATTACCAGACATATTAGGAGACAAAAGAAGCCACCTCATGAGAGAGTGTAAAAATTAGAACTAAGGTCTGGAAAGACCAACTTTCTCACTCACCAAAACATCAAATGTAAGGGCTATCCTAACTCTAGAAAGTAGCTTTTAATGCAAACAAATCACACAACAGGTAGAGTGACAGAACACTTCTCCCTCAGCAAGTAGTACAAGAAACAAATTTAAGAACCCAACAGGCCTAATGTATCTTGGGACTTTTACCAACTTATAAAAACTCTTCAAGATTTTCTTACTTGAAATTAATTTTGTTGAGAATGTGTCTGTGCCAGCCTTGGAACAGAAAAGCAGTTCCCACCTTGCTCTTGCTCAGCCCCACAAAAGACACTTTTTTCTCACTTAACAGAATTTCATTTAAGAGGATTGTTCCACCTCTCTCTTTTACACAACATACATGGTTTCCTCAATGAAAGGGTATATAACACACGTTTCTGCTCATCTTCCCTACTGGACCCTGAACAACTGACCTGGTTGAATTCAAGGACATCCAGAAGGTCAAAGAGTTTCCGGTTCTTCTCGTTGTCCTTCAGTTTCACGTAGTACTGCTGCAACCCATGCAGCGTCAGCTTCGTCTCATCATCCACGAAGATCTCCATTGGCTGGGGGGGAGGGGGGAGGCAGGGGGTGGGGAACGGGAGGAGGGCAGAGTGGGGGGGTTAAACCTGGGGGGGGTGGAGGAAGCTGATCTCCAATACACCCCATGGGGGGATGGGGAGAAGAGAGAAGATTGAAAACCCAACCCCACCCCCAAAAGTACCCACATTTTAATGTGGTCTTTCCCACGTTAGATCTAATTTCATTCCTATCAGTTGAGTTTTAAGACTGCCCAACTGAAAATTGTCATGGGAAAGAACTTTGCAGGGAGGAAAAGGCATAGTGCAACCACCCAACGGCAAAATGCCATTACCTCAAATGGAGGTGGTGGAAGAAAGAAAACAATGGGAGATGATTCTTAAAGTGAGAACATAATCCAAACACCTGAGAAATGACAGGAAACAGTGACTCGAGGTCAGAATAACTCCGTCAGAGCTGGTTATAATATGGGGGAGGGGACAAGGACTGCTCCATTTGAGAATTCTCTCAACTAGGAGAAACATATCCCTATTGGGAAGTGGATGTCTTTAAGATCAGAATGCTTCAATGGACATTTCAAGTCAAAATGCCATGAAAAGACAGGCAAAAATTATTCAAGATGAGCAACTTGCCCTCAGACTAAAAGGGAAGTTTTAGATGAAACTGATCTCTCAACTAAGAATCAAATCATCTACAGTATTACATGGAAGGTATAACTGGCGCTAAGAAGCAAATTCAGAGCAGCAGTTATTCACTCATCCTAAAACAGACACACCCCTGCCACACACACACACACAACCCTTGAAGGGAAGGAAAGCAGCATTAAAAAAAGACGGAAATTGGCAACTCAACTCCAAAGCCCAACTTCCCTAGCACTCTTCACTAACTTGGGTATGTATTTAACATGAAGACCCAGGGTCTAAGATTTCAGTAAAGAATGTATGTGTCATGGGAGAAAACCAGAAGCCCAACCCTAGGAGGCAGACTAGCAAAGGTAGGCTTTCCAAAGAGAAGTTTCATGGCCTCCTTCAACATCTGAGTCCCAAGCATAGCTACAGATAAAGAGTCATCTTCCCTCGGGAAGGAGCAGAGCAGGGAGGGAAAGAACACACTCCACTGCTTATACAACTGGCCCCGCTTAGCCCCAGACCCTAACACCCACCTGGTTACATCCAAGTGGAGCTCCTCACTTTACCTTTCCCATATCCCTCTAAGTATTAAAAAAGTGTATGAAAGAAGAAAAAAAAAAATCTACCACCCCATTCAGAACACCCCGCCCCCCAACACAAATGAAGGGAAACGGGGAGCACGGCACGCCTTGGATTCAGGAAAAAAACCGGGAACGGAAAAAGAGGCTGGTTTTGGTCCTCGGCTTCCTGGTCAGGTTCCCCGCGGCCTCCGCTGCCGCCATCCACCGCCGGTGCCGTCTGCATTCCCCCGCCGTGCCACGGTGCTTCTCTGCCGCCGGCTCACATCAACCGAGGTTCCGGATGGGTGCGAGGAGGTACGGGTAGGAAGGAGTAGGGACTCGGGGATTGAGGTGCCAAAGGCCCCCACCCCTGGAGGTGGGGAGGGAGCAGATTCATTTGTGCTGTTTGCTCTTCTTTTGGACATGCCCTGCCATCTGTCTGTCCCTCTCTTGCTCTCCTGCCACCGGGAGGTTATGAGTTTGGGGGAGCAGAAGGCTCCAGTTGTATGCTTGATGCCACCTTGAGGATGCGTGGCTGTAGGGGGTATGTAGGAGACGATGGGTGGGTGGTAGGGCAGAAAATCCTGCCCTCCCCCCAAAAAGGGAGAAGAGGTTCAAAAATGCTGTGATTGAAAAAAAAAAAGTCGAACACTACCCGCTCTCACGTTAACCCGACCAAGTCTTCCGGAGTTTCCCTGGCGCCCGCGCAGACCCTAACACTAACTGTCTCTGCCTCTGTGTGTCTCTTCAAGGCGTCATCACTCCCAAATGGGCACGTGCCCCCTTCTTGGCGCTTGAAGGACAAGGGAGTCTGGAGGAAGAGGGCGCGGAGGGGGAGGAGGCAGCGGGCGGGGAGTGGAGGGAGAGAAGGTAGAAGGGTATTTACGTCTTGCATGAACTTGCGGCAGACTGGACGAATCTCTTTGCTCAAGGTAGCACTGAACATCATGACCTGCTTCTCATGGGGGGTCATGCGAAAAATTTCCTGGACATCCCGACGCATGTCTGAGAAAAGGAAAAAAAAATACTATAGGAGAAGAAAAGCATATACTATAAACAAAGACCAAAAGGCTTCCCAATGAGGTAGAACTGCTAGAAATGGGTAAGCAGGTCTCATGTCAAGGAAAGATTTGCCTCAGGTCTCTCTCTCTGTATTTTCTCCAACCACCATGAAGTCATATCCAAATAACAACACAGTGGAAAGAACAATGAATCTAGGGCCAGATTCCAGCTCTGTGTTTTTTAACCATACAAACTATCAAATGAAACCCCAAAGCCCACAACTATGAAATGGGGATAAAGTCCACTGCAGCTCACAAAGGTAAGTTCTTTGAAAAATGCTTCACAAGGCCCTTCTTACTCCTCTCTCCCCGAGCCCCAGCTGTCTACAAATATGGCACACCTATCACATTCCAGCTGTCAGAGTCCATTCCGTACTTCCTCTGGATCACACTGTCCTATCCAGTCAGGGAAACACGACATTCTACCTGGAGCCCACCTTATAGCTTGCCATCTAGAATAGACAAAGATCATCTGGAATCACTTATCCCTGGGGCTATGTCCATCCCTACT